AACTATACTACAAGGCTACAGTAATCAAAACAGCATGGTACTGGTACCAAAACAGAGATATAGACCAATGGAACAGAACAGAGGCCTCAGAGGCAAGACAACATATCTACAACCATCTGATCTTTGACAAACCAGTCAAAAACAAGCAATGGGGAAAGGATTCCCTGTTTAATAAATGGTGTTGGGAAAACCGGCCAGCCATGTGCAGAAAGCAGAAACTGGACCCCTTCCTGACACCTTATACTAAAATTAACTCCAGATGGATTAAAGACTTAAACATAAGACCTAACACCATAAAAACTCTAGAAGAAAATCTAGGCAAAACCATTCAGGACATAGGCATAGGCAAGGACTTCATGACCAAAAAACCAAAAGCATTGGTAACAAAAGCCAAAATAGACAAATGGGACCTAATCAAACTCCATAGCTTCTGCACAGCAAAAGAAACAGTCATTAGAGTGAATCAGCAACCAACATAATGGGAAAAACTTTTTGCAGTTTACCCATCTGATAAAGGGCTGCTATCCAGAATTTACAAAGAACTAAAACAGATTTACAAGAAAAAAACAAACAAGCCCATTCAAAAGTGGGCAAAGGATATGAACAGATACTTTACAAATGAAGACATACATGAGGCCAACAAACATATGAAAAAATGCTCATCATCACTGGTCATCAGAGAAATGCAAATCAAAACTACATTGAGATACCATTTCACGCCAGTTAGAATGGTGATCATTAAAAAATCTAGAGACAACAGATGCTGGAGAGGGTGTGGAGAAATAGGAACACTTTTACACTGTTGGTGGGAGTGTAAAGTAGTTCAACCATCGTGGAAGACAGTGTGGCGATTCCTCAAGGACCTAGAAATAGAAATTCCATTTGACCCAGCAATCCCATTACTGGGTATATATCCAAAGGATTATAAATCGTTCTATTATAAGAACACGTGTACATGAATATTCATTGCAGCACTGTTTACAATAGCAAAGACCTGGAACCAACCCAAATGCCCATCAATGATAGACTGGACAGGGAAAATGTGGCACATATACACCATGGAATATTATGCAGCCATCAAAAACGATGAGTTTGTGTCCTTTGTAGGGACATGGATGAACCTGGAAAGCATCATTCTCAGCAAACTGACACAAGAGCCGAAGATCAAACACCACATGTTCTCACTCATAGGTGGGTGTTGAACGATGACAACACATGGACACAGGGAGGCGAGCACTACACACTTGGGTCTGTTGGGGGGAAATAGGGGAGGGTCAGTGGGGGGTGGGGAGTTCGAGAGAGATAGCATGGGGAGAAATGCCAGATATAGATGATGGGGAGGAAGGCAGCAAATCACATTGCCATGTGTGTACCTATGCAACAATCTTGCATGTTCTTCACATGTACCCCAAAACCTAAAATGCAATAAAACAAATTTAAAAAATAAAATTATATCCTGCACACACACACACAAAAAAGAACACGTCTATTAAATTTAGCAAGTGGAATGAAAGTTTTAATGAATAGAAAAAAAAGAAAAAACCCTCTTGATGGCCAAAAGAACCAGGGTTTCTGGTACCCCATCATCCATTACAAAATATTCTAAGCCCTGAGATACCTACCCAACTTTTTTTTTTTTTTTTTGAGACAGAGTCTTGCTATGTCACCCAGGCTGGAGTGCAGTGGCATGATCTCTGCTCACTGCAACCTCCACCTCCTGAGTTCAAGTGACTCTCCTGCCTCAGCCTTCAGAGTAGCTGAGATTACAGGCGTGAGCCACCATGCCTGGCTAGTTTTTGTATTTTTACAAAAATTTGGGGTTTCACCATATTGGTCAGGCTAGTCTCGAACTCCTGACCTCAAGTGATCCACCTGCCTCAGCCTCCCAAAGTGCTGCGATTACAGGTGTGAGCCACCGCGCCCTGCCCAATATCTACGCAACTTTCTAGTTAGATCCTGAACTCCAAAGCTGTCTTATACATGTTTAAATTGACTTCTTGGGGGGCCAAGGCAGGCAGATCACAAGGTCAAGAAATAGAGACCATCCTGGCTGTCTCTTTAGTAGAGGCAGGTGAAACCCCATCTCTACTAAAATACAAAAATTAGCTGGGTGTGGTGGTGCACGCCTGTAGTCCCAGCTACTCGGGAGGCTGAGGCAGGAGAATTGCTTGAACCCGGAAGGCGGGGGTTGCAGCAAGCTGGGATTGTACCACTGCACTCCAGCCCAGTGCCTAGCGACAGAGCAGGACTCTGTCTCAAAATAAATAAATTAATTAAGTAAATAAAAAATAAACTGACTTAGGCACACACATTTTGCTACTTTCTCTCTTAGGAAGGAAGCTTGTGATTGATCCTGCAAACCTAGACCAGCAGGCCTCTTTAACCATGAGAGGCCTGAGATTGCAGAGAAAGCAGTGGAAACCAAGGCAAGGGAAAAACTATACTGAAAAAGAACAGCTCACCACTGGCTCAGAGAAGAGTAGGGTAACAGCTTTTGTGTTATTTTGGAACAGTTTGTGCTGATGAGCTTTTTGTTGTGGTAACATTCCTCTAAAATGAACATTTTATTCCTCCCCTCATTGACAAAACAATTCAACAGAATGTGAAAGAAAAAGAAACGGATGAGGAGCAGACAACAAAGATACCCAAGAATTTATAGATCTTGGATTATTATCACCTTCTTCATCCATTCCCTGATTTTGTGGCCAGGCCCTGGGACAGCGATCAGGACACCACTAGGCCTCATTCACCCCCAGGAACATGGCTGTATTTTCAGCATAGACAAATATGATTTTGATCCTTTATAGGTCAGTGACACTTCTGGATGTAACCAAATTTCAGATACTTGCATCATGATCATTGTCCTTGCTCAAGAACCTATAGTTGCCTGGTTCAGCAAGTATACATATCTCAGCCTGGGCCCCACTATCCTTTCCAACTTTTTATTCTATGGTTTTCTACCACAGTCCCTCTATCTAACCAAACCAACCCACTGTTTCTTACTACCTCTACAGCTATTCTCACACTGATTCTCCACTACTCAGTAAGCCCAACTCTTTCCATTATATCCAAATTTTACTTTTTCTCCAAGAAGTCTATTTTTCTCTTCCTTTAAATTCCTTAAACATTATCTGGTTCATCCTTATAAACAAATCCCCTCTGCTGACCAATCAGTGGATTCTGTGTTTTGGTTGTTTTTTTTTTTTTTACAAGACATGGTCTTGCTCTGTTGCCAAGGCTGGAATGCAATGATCATAGCTCACCACAGCTTCGACCTCCTGGGCTCAAGCAATCCTCCTGCCTCGGCCTCCAGAGTAGCTGAGACTACAGGTGTATGCCACCACACCCGGCCAATTTTTTTTTTTGTAGAGACAGGGTCTCACTATGTTGTCCAGGCTAGTCTCGAATTCTTGGCCTCAAGATATCCTTCTGCCTTGACGTCCTGAAGTGCTGGGATTACAGACATGAGCCACCACACCCAGATTCAGTGGAGTTCTGAATTCTATTTGCCCATCTTCAGTGATAGGGAGGTCACTATCTACCAAAGAAGTCTCTTCTATGACAAGATAGCTCTCACTGTTAGTCAATTATTTATTCTCAAAGAAAATGCCTACTTTTTACTTTCCCCACTTTACTTTGGGTCTGGGTCTGCTCAAAGAATAGGAGAAACAATACAGCATTACTTAAGAGCATGGGCTTTGAAATCAGATCTGCTCTGATATCCACTGTGTCCCTGAGCAAAATGCTTAACCTTTCTAAGGCTCCATTCCCTGGTAATAATATCAACTTCATAAGTCTGTTGAAGTTAAAAGAGTAACTATGCAAAAAGCTTAACACTGGAACTGGCATAATGTAATAATTCAATCAATGATAGCTAGTATCATGGTTTTCACTGTACTATCATCGTTACTTATGTCTGATTTCTTTACTTTTAAGTATTTAAAGATAGAAATTATATTATGTAAGTCTCACCTCTTCTCCAGGCTAAAGTCTCTTCACTAGACTTTAAGTTAAATAAAGACAGACTGTATCTGTCTTATTTACAGTCTCAACTCCATGCCTAGCATAGTGCATGGTACATAGACACTTAATAAACATAATTGTGTTGAATGCTCTTTGTTTCACAGCTTCCATACTTTATCACTCATGTCACCCCTCTCTGTATAGGCCCTCAATGTTCCAAATCCTTCTGACAATGTGGGATCCAAAACTGAACTTGAAACTCAAAGGTAGGCTGGCAGGAAGGAAGAGAGAGTAGGGTATCTCCCCCGTCACGATATAACTACATCACTATTGAAGATTTGGCATAACTTGGTAGCTTCACCAAGCTACTGGTATATGTTGAGCTTTAAATGAAGAAACCTTTAAATATTTTCACACATAATGGCTTTTTCTCTGGGATCTGCTGAGCTGCAGGTACAATAATGCTAAAGGATGAAACAACAATAGAGCTTTTTTCCATTTAGAGACTCCTCTAGCTCTTACTATCTAGACCACTCAACTGGCTCCCAAAAACTTCAGCCTGGAATTTAGAATGATCTTTCTAAAAAGATTTCCTCTTCCCAAATAGAATATAAACTCCTCCCAAAGGGCAGGATCTGGGTGTCTTATCTTTTATCCCACATGCCAACACAGGGCTAAGAACAGACTGATGCCCTCCATCTATAGCAGGATTGCAATAAGGATCCAAGGAAATCATAGAGACCAGCCTTGGGGATCCCTCTCCCTCCCAAACAACACAGCTCAGCCAGTGTTATGCAACTAGCCAACGGGCAGGCAGGAGCCAACCCAGGCACAGACATAGGCATAAAGTCTACACTCTGACAGGCTGACTCCCGGAGGGCTGCTCTACTGGGAGCCACCTTCGCTGATGGGGATGAGTTCCTAGAGAACACGCCAGCAGAGAACATCTCTCCGCAGGGAATAGTCTGTCTAAGCAGCTTTCAAGGACTGTTTCACACAGGAAGAAAAGAGAGCCATAGCAGGATGAAAAATCTCACCTCATCACTTTCTTCCACATCCACATCACCATTGGCATCATCATCCATCAGCTTGTGGATGTTACGGACTGCCTCGAAGCTGAGTTTCTCATCCTCACTGTGACACAGGGGCTTGTCAATTCGGCAAAACTCTGTGTATGAAAAGCAAGAGACAACATTACTCAGAGCTGCCACCCAGAACCCATCACCCAAAACCTATCACCCACCTGTGTCGGCATCCTTAGCTTCTAGCATCTGACTCCTCATGTAGGCCCTTAACTAGCTACTTGCACAGTGACAGAAGTGTTTCATCTAGCCTTTAAGTGTCTCCCCAAGAAAATGGTGAGCTTCCCCCCAAGAACAATGCTTTTTATCATCCTAATAGTTCTTGGCAGGGAAGTCTCACATAGGACTAGGAATATGTTGGGATCTAGACAAGAATGTGCATCAGTAACTCACAAATGAGAGAAAACATAAATAGTTAGTGAACACAGGAAAAGGTCTGGCCTCATTAGTAATCAAAGAAATACATATTCAAATGAGATATTATTTTTAATCAGTCAAATAAACAAATATAAATCAATGTAATCTTTCTGGAAACAGAACAACAGCTAATTAGGCCCAGTGCCCAAATAATGTACAATTTTCCTTTTTGTTCATTTCGTCACTGCTGATACATAGAAGGCCAGCCATAGGCTGACTGGGGAAACCTCTCACATCTCATGCCTTCTCACAGACAGCTATATCAGGCAAATATTTTTTTTAGATATCTCAAGGTCCTGAGCTCATCTGATACAACAACTTATGTGGTCTGGGATACAGTTTTCTCTGCCCACCATCACATGTTCATGCAGCAGTAAAGCCAGCACAAGAGCCTAGGCCACCTTAGCTCTTTCTGTGACACCTAATCCTCTCTTACAAGCCTGGAAAACACCTAGTCTGAATGATGCACATAACAGAAAGAGCCTGAAATCTAGGCTTAACTCTACCATGTGATCTAGGGAGGTCATTCTCTTCTCCATACCTCAAAGTCACTATTTGAAAAGGGCATTTTGACTGAAGCTTCTAGTTTTTCTTCCAATTCCTTATGTTAAAATTCCTCTTTCCTTTTGCCCTGGATCTTGACAACTACTTCCTAGGCAAAATATTCTCCAGATGACCCTCAAAGAAAATAGATTTTGACTTCCTAGGTAATAGAAGTTGTCACAGGACAGAAAGGACAGGGTGAAGAGGTTGTGGTTATGACGCCTTTTAGAAGGCACTAATCAAAGACCTAAAATATCCTAATCCATTTAATCATCTACTTGTCTGCCAGCCAGAGACAGTGATAAGACCAGACAGGTCACTTCTCTACTTCTTGCCAGTTGTTCAAATCCTTTTCAAAATAAGGGAGGAGTATAAATATTAAATTTTAAAGTGTCCCAGATGTGACTCAATAAAGGTATGTTGAACATTGAAGCTCACAGATGTTAAATGATGTGCCAAAGTCACAGGCAAGATGAAGAGCCACAGTAAGACCCCAAGTCTGCTGACACCCAGGTTAGCACTTCAAAATCCCATCTTCACAACTGCCTTTTTGCTAGGGTGACCAGATAGCTGGCCTTGGGTTGCTTTCATCTTTTAGAAGCCACAGGTAATAACATGAGCAAAAAGAACACTAAGAAACAGGGCTATTTTTGTTTTTCTTTTTTTGTTTTTTGAGATACAGTCTCACCCTGATGCCCAGGTTGGAGCCCAGTGGCATGATTTCCACTCACTGCAACCTCTGCCCCCCGGGCTCAAGCAATTCTCCTGCCTCAGCCTCCCAAGTAGCTGAGATTATAGGTACGTACCACCATACCAAGCTAATTTTCTGTATTTTTAGTAGAGACGGGGTTTCACCATGTTAGCCAGGCTGGTCTCGAACTCCTGACCTCAAGCAATCCGCCCACCTCAGCCTCCCAAAGTGCTGGGATTACAGGCATGAGCCACCACACCCAGCCTGTAACAGTTTTATAAAAGAAAAAAATACAATGAACAGTATGCATACAAAAAGAAATATCTCTACATAAATTTATTTCCCTTGACAGTTGTTGTTCCAAATTGGGAAGTGGGATGAAGGGGCAGTGGGAACTTAGGGAGAGAGCAGAATACACCCAAAGATTAAGGCATTGTTTCTCAACTTCCTCACCAATGAAAACATATATAATTGTATATTAGAGCTTCTTAATTAGCCCATGATATGCCCATTTAGACATTTACTGAATGTTCTTCATATATGAGGCCCTACGATCAGCATGAGCATAAAGATATGAATCATACTTCATTTTTCTCTCAGAAGGTTAATTATAAAAGTGGGAGGGAGAGGCAATTAAAACACTATGTGTTAAGTGCCATGATAGAAAGAATCATGATTAAGTATCAGCTAACTTTTTCTGTAAAGGGCCAGATAACAAACAATTTAGAATTTGTGGGCCATATAGTCTCTGTTGCACAACTTAACTCTGCCATTGTAGCACAAAAGCATCCACAGACAAAATATAAGTGAATGGGCTTGAAAGTGTTCTAATAAAACTTTATTTATAAAAGCAGGCCGTGAACTGGATTTGGCCAACGGGCCATAGTTTGCTGAACTCTGTTACAGAATATCATAGGTAGCACACCTAAATCATATTGAACTGCGCTAAAAGAAAGACATCCAAGGCTGGGGGTGGTGGCTCACACCTGTAATTCCAGCACTTTGGGAGGCTGAGGCAGGAGTTCCCTTGAGCCCAAGAGTTAAAGACTAGACTGGGTAACATGGTGAAACCCTGTCTTTACAAAAATTTAAAAAATTAGCCAGGCATGATGATGCACACCTGTGGTCCCAGCTCTCAGGAGGCTGAAGTAGGAAGATCACTTGAGCCCACAAGGTCGAGTTGCAGTGATCCATGTTTGTGCCACTGAACACCAGCCTGGGCAATAGAGCAAGACCCTGTCTCAAAAATAATAATAATAATAATTAAAGAGATATAGAAATCCAATCTTTTCATTAGCCTGTATACATACACAGGCTTATCCTAAGTAAAGCACAACTTAGGCTTTTTAAAATAATGGAAATAGTTTATCAAGCTCTAGGGTTTGGGGCCTCCAGGATGGGTACTATTGGCCTGATGTCAATTAACCAGCACCTTTCCCAAAGACCTACAAAGTCCAAGAAGTTTGGGCTTCAAATACCCAGGCTCTGGTTTGTAACCTGATCAGACAGACAGGTGACATTTGCTGCTAGCATCAGCTGACATAGAGAAGGATTAAAGAGATTGAGGGATAGGGAGTACAAAGGCCTGATTCCCCTATGGCAGTTGAATCCTGTACAGAAAAGCCATTTCAGCCAAAACTCACAAATAACTCCTTCAACCAAGCATGTCTTAAGCTGTCTCTCTGTTCTTCCTGAGACCTTTCCTATTTTCTCTTACACATTCCAATCTGGCAAGGTTTCCCACAACTCTCTGGAAATACCTTCAAAGAGCCATCCATTTAGCAATGCATAACTACAGTGAAAAAGCCGGGACTTAGAGTCAGAACACATATCAAAATCCCATTTTCACTAATTACAAACCATATGATATTGGACAAGTTGTTTAATTTCTCTGAGACTCCAATTTCTCATTTGCAGAATGAGGATAACAATCTGCTGCACAGACTTTTTAAAAATAAAATCACATTTGTTAAAACACCTAACATAGGACCTGGCATAAGGCTGATATTTAATACATTTGTATTATCCTCTTTACCCCCAGAACAGCAAGTAAACAGTTCTCATCTTCTGTTAACTTCAGTCACTTTCCCTGTCTATGAAGAATCAAATATAGGAGGTATAATCAAATCAACCTGATCAGTCATAGGTTCCAGGTGAGTGGGCAAGTGGCTCTTTGCAAGACTCTGACAGTAGCCTGAACTCCCACAACATTTATATGCTATCACTGGTAACATTTATCATACTGGGTTGCAATTATCTGTTTAACGTGTCTTCCCTACCAGACTGTGATCTCCAGAAGGGACTGGTACCATGTCCCCAGCAGCAAGCAAAGAGCCAGGTTCTTGATAAGATGCTCAGTAAATTTTTTTTAATGAATATCTAAATATTAACTCTACAATTATGTGTAAGATTTCTCTAGAGAAAAAAAGAAGAGTTCTAGGCAAGGAAAATACCACAGGCATATGTTTTTAAACTTTTTGGTCTGAGGACCCTTTTATATGCTTAACATTTTTTAATTCCAAAGAACTGTTTAATGTTTACATATTAGAAAGTAAAACACATGGAGCCATAAAAAAGAATGAGATCATGCCCTTGTAGGAACACAAATGGAACTGGAGACCATTATCCTTAGCAAACTAATACAGGAAGAGAAAAACAAATACCACATGTTCTCACTTCTAAGTAGAAGCTAAATGGTGATAACACATGGACACACAGAGGGAAACAACACACACTGGGGCCTTTCAGAGGATGGAGGGTGGGAGGGGGAAGAGGATAAGGAAAAATAACTAATGGGTACTAGGATTAATACCTGGGTAATGAAATAATCTATACAACAAATCCTATGTCATAAGCTTACCTATGTAACAAACCTGCACTTGTACCCCTGAACTCAAAATAAAAGTTAAAAACTAACTACCTACATTGCCTTAATGAATATTTAGCAACGTAAAACTTTTGCAAACTGCCTCAGCAAGATTTTTTTTCAAGATTGATAATGTTTCATAAGGTATAGATCAGAGCATTTCAAATAAAATTTCCACAGAATTTTGAATTAAAAAAGGAAAAAACACAAATTGTTATAATTGGTTATTATTTTATTTTTTCCTAACAATCTGTTTTTATTACACAAGTAACAATAAACACTTGTAGACAAACAGGTAAGTCAAAAGAACAAACAATTGTTAAAGTCTTTGTATACATACTACCAGAGCAAGACTTTTCTAAAAAGTCAAAAAACAACAGATGTTGGTGATGTTGCAGAGAAAACGGAATACACTGTTGGGGGAATGCAAACCAGTATAACCTCTATGGAAAATGGAAAACAGTATGGAGATCTCCCAAAGAACCAAAACTAGGCAGCTAGCCAAAGGATAAGAAAGGACAAGAAATCATTATATAAAGATAACCCTACCACTCATGTCTGTTGTGGCA